TTTTCGCCTTAAAATTAAATGGATGAGTAATAAGAAGAATATTTACTCATACATGTGTGTGTGCGCATTGAAAAATAACCTCCACCATCCTGCTCAGAGAGTTCAAGTGTGAACAGAAAATCATTGTATGCATTCAATAGTCATAAAGTTACGCAATAAAGGCAAAGAAAAGACGTTAGAGCCAAAGATTATGTAGTCAAATGAAAGAGGTAACCAGGGCAAGGAAAGACCGATCACTACTTCTTTTTAACACAGAAGTCAAGTTTCAAGCCTTTGATAGAGATTGCTTCAGCCCACTTGAGGAAAATTGAACTGCTTTATCTATTAATAATTTTAAAGGATTTCGCGATGCTTCAAAACAGGTGTCTTTAAAGCCCTGCAAAGTATCACAAGCATCGAAATCTTAGAAATACACATATGATGTCAGGGACGAAGGATAAGTTAGTCAAGAATTATGTTATGAATCATAAACAAAGCATAGATTCAGTCAGTGTAACCAAAATGATGAGCTATCATAATTTTCGCAAAACAATTCTTATGCACCTCACAATTTAACTCGACTACCAAATATCCGAAACAAGAAAATAAGCTGAACGGAAAGGAAGATCGACCAATTGTTAGTATTAAATTACTGACTAAAAATACACTACCTATATGACAGGGAGATGTATTTTTCACCTTAAATCCTAGTCACTTGTATATGTCTTTTATATACTTTGTGTATTAAATTAGTTTACTTTTATCAATAAATTAGGTTGCAGTACTACGAGCTAGCACTTATTGCGCGTTAGGACAATATCAAATTTATCATACACCAGCTGTATGTGCATACTGTCCACCAGGGACTTTTTCAGTTGATTTAACACCAAATGAATCTCATCCAACTTATGGTTGTCAAATATGCCCCAAGGGAACATATCAACAATTACCTGGTCAAGGGGAATGTTTAAAGTGTAAAGGAGTAAGTTATTCAGTGATTTTTCGTAATATTATGACTAAAACAGAAAGAATTAATTCACTAGTATACATGAAAAGCATATGTTGATCATGTATTTATATGATTTTTTTCCTTCACGTTCCCAGTGGAACATAGGGCCTCAAGCTAGTGGCTTGAAGTTTCTGTAACAGTGGTGATTACTTTTACCGGATGGGGTTGCTGGCCTCATGCCCACCCTTTCCTCTCTACCAGCCTCATTTCTAGCTTAACGAGGTGAAGGAGTGCGCCGGCCGGGGATCGAACCTCGGAATAAATGCATAGTCGGCGAGCGTCCTAACCGCTATGCCACCGACGCATTCTATTTATATGATTAGCTGCCTTATTTATCGTTGAAACAAACCTTCATAAATTATAAGTGCTGAAATTATTTAAGTTTATATGCGTATTAATTAACCTACTAACTAAGTAACTCAAATATCCCAGAAAAAGTAAATAAGTCTGATAAAACTATCATCACCTTGTACCGCTTTATTTTTCCATTGATTATAGGTGGCATCAACTAAACAAGAAGGTGCATGGTATGCTGATTTGTGCATTAGACAGGCAAAAGATGCAGATGATTCAGATGTTTTACGCAAGGAAATACATCGTAAAGGAGAACCAAGCATGAGAATCAATATACAACCGGGTGATGAAGGCGATATCCTATCCTCCACGTCATTGTCATTATTATCAAAGTCAACACATGATTGGGTAAATGATCCATCAGAAATCAAAACATACAATATGGATGTACCAGCTGAGCTAAGTATTATTAGTACTCAACGTTTAGTATTTAACATTATTTGTTTCTTACTTCTACTAGGATGTATTATGATATTTGTAGTTATTTCTAAAGGATATATGCTAGTTCGTTTAACTAATCGTACACGAATGCATTTAATTACACGGAGAAAAATGTCATTAGCTGCACGAACATCAGCATTTAGTATACGTAAAAGTGGACTATGGTCATTAGCTCAAAAAACTAAAACAGAATCTATTCGTGAATCTGATGATGAAGAATCGACTAAATCTGATTGAAAAATTATACTATTCATGTTTTAGTGTTTTTCTTTTCGTTGATTGATTTTGATTGATTCTGACAATTATAACGATGTTATCTGATAAATAAAGAATACTTTCTACTGTTTTAATCATGAATACTACTGTTGTATTAGGTTATTATGTTATTACGTTTCGTTAACAGTTATAAAATATATACATCCATAAAAGATGTCTTTTGTTTACATGTTTACGGAATTTCAATCATGAATGAACACTCCATATCTGAGTCATCATGTTATGAGTACGGATAAACACATAGTAGTTCGGTGCTGTTGCCCATGCCGAACGAAATACTAAGCCGCGTCATCCTGAAGAGAATACAACATGCACTGGATGCAGAACTCCACCCACAGGAACCACCTGAATTCAGGAAAGGCAAGTCATGTGCTGATCAAATTGCAACTCTACACATAGTCATTGCAGAACAGAACATAGAATAGCAGTCAAAACTCTCTCTATCTCAACTTCATAAACTTCGAAAAGGCCTCCCACAGCATCGACCGATTGGATACTGCTTCAACACTATGGAGTGTAGTGCCCCACATTTTTACCAACCTCATTCAACATCTGGTTACATGATAACGCCACGTGTCAGGTGATCCACAACGGAAAACTCAGCGAAGACTTTCCAGTGAATACAGGAGTAAGACAAGGCTGGCCGGCTGCCTATTATCACCAACGGTGATATTCTTAATTGTGGTGGACTGCATTATACGGAAGACTGTGCGCTGAGAGCGAGAAGATAGGAATACGCTGGACCACCGATGAGAAGACTCTAGAACTCTGGACTTCGCGCATGGTTGATGTATGTCTACTGTCGCACAAACTCGAAGACTTACAGGCGAAAACCAACAAACTGCCTGAAGAGGCTGGTAGCGAAGTCAGGACTTCAGGTGAACATAGAAAAGATGGAGATGATGAAGATAACCAACCAAAAGCAACCACCACAACAAACACCAATCACCATCAACGGGAGAGATATGACAGAGGTTACCTCCTTCACTTAACTAGGAAGCATCGTTTCAACCACAGGCACGCCGAACGGATGAAGACGTCAAAGCTGGTTAGAATCGTAAAGGCAAGATATTCTTTCATCAAACTGAAACAAGTTTGGAATTCTTCTGCACTCAACCACCATAAAAAACAAGATTCGGATTTTCAACACCAATGTCAAGTCAGTCACTTCTTCTGTACTGGTCAGAAACTTGCACTGCGCATCACGAAAAGCATTTCCAATAAGTCACAGACTTTCAGCAACAGCTGCCTTCGCTGACTCCATACTGAAGATCAAATAACCAGAAAGAATAAGTAAGAAGAAACTCTGGCTGGAAACAAACTAATCAAGAGCCGATCGGTCAACAAAAACGTAGGGGAAAGTGGAGATGGATGGGGAACACGTTGAGGAGACCATCGAACGACATCGCACACAATGCACGCCACCTCTCGAGTGGAATCCAATTGGGAGGCGACGAGTGGGTCGTCGGTGCGCGGGTGACGTTGAGGAGATGAGGGATTATGGGCAGTTGTGTGGCTAGCCGGTTGAAGAGGACAGTAGAAAATAGATGTGGATATATTGTTGAAGCCCTGTATTCTACTCAGAATCCAAGGGAATAACAGTAATAATAATTGTTCGGTGTTTAGACCACCTCTACCTGGCTAGTAAGCATTATTGGTTGATGTGAGTTGTATTCACCTACTCATATCAATCAATCAATGACATAGAGTAAGCAACACCAAGTGAAATATTGCCTAACACGCACTTGACAATTAAGCACATTCATTTCATAAAAGTAAATAAGATTATCTGCATTTCTTAATCATCGGTAGGACATGATCTTGTACCTCACTAGATACAACTTTTTAATAATAACAGCTTTATTCCAAACAGTAGTTTTGGTACAAATATGGTATTTTCAGCATTGCAATACAATACTACACCTAATTTTCTCAATACAGGAGCTTTATTACAGTAAAGATAAATTATATTAACAAAGATGAATAAAAGGTGTGACTATGACTGCTATCATTCCCATTAATATTTGAATTTCACTTGCTGCTATTATAACATAACAATGTAAGTCTTCAGAAAGCTGGTGGTGGGAGTTTGTATGGTATCGAAAGCCAATTTGTTCATTTCTTACACAACTAGTATATTTGCCTAATTTGTTCTAAAAAAGGTTTTAAAATCTTCCACTGTACAATGGACTCGCTAAAACATGATGAGCTACCTAAAGCAATTAAATAGATAAACAACACAGATACCAAGACCTTATAAGATGGCGAACTGATGGGAGGAGACGGTTCCTCAGTAGCATAACGCTACAGATAGAAAAATGAACTAACTAACAAAGATTTTCAACAGACAGCTATTCCTGATTGGTTACAGGACTTCATCATGAGCTGACATAGTTTAGAGAACCACTAGAAAACCCGAGAGTACTAGGCAGATGTTTCACCCTAGTTTGGAACTCTTCATCAGTACGCACCCACCAAGGTTCGAACCCAGGACCTTCCAGTTACAAGGTGGAATTCGTAGACCATTAAGCTACTGGGACTTAATCCAATGGCTAGTCCATAAATTCCAACTTCTGCCAATTCACGATATAGTGCGACTGACACTAGCTAATGTCATCGGTAAGTATCTGTCCTCACACCCGACCTGGTTTTTTACAAATGATTAAATGCACATTTCAAATTCAGTTATACATTCAAGTATTCTGAGACAGAAAACCCATTGGCATTCATGTGCTAATCTTTTAGAGATTTCTCCTCGTATAGACACTCCAACCATAGAAGGATATAACCATTCAAAAGAATAATGACGATAATAATGTTACGCAATTCGTGTACTAAATCGGAAGATCAATAATGGTGAAAAATTCCATCTGTTAAACAACTTTTCCATACGTTGTAAAGAGAAACATAACCAATAAAGTCAACGAACAGTTAAACTCACCGATTCAACAGCACCATGGTGACCAGCAAGTGTGAATTGGCGCGGTGCAAGCTGTTTGGATAACTCACCAGATTCCAGATCATAGACGCTAAGAGCTAGATTTTTGAAGTCCTATGAATCGGAAAAGTTCAAAAAAGGTTTAGTCAGTCGGTAGAACAACATAGGTATTTTGAAAGGATATAAGCTGCGAACTACAGGAATATTTTATGTTTTTATACAAATAAAATATACGAAGTGCGAAAAAATATCAATTACGGCCTACACTTTTATTTCCTCATTAAACTGCGTTACTGTGTGGCTGAGAGTATGATCCAAAACATCTCTGTAAATGTTGACAAGATTACCTATTTGGGATGAAAAAAACTAATCGAAACTTCTTAAAGTATATGGGAGTAATTAGATAAACGGAACATTACTTTTCTGAAGAAAAACTTGGGCTTGTTCATCCCCTCTAGTAAAATTAATTAGGAAACAATATCTGTCTGTCTGTTTTCGGCATAGAACTTTGCACAAATGTGCGGAAGTTCAAGTCGCCACATTCCGTGTAGCACGCGAAGCAAGAGAAGAAGGTACAAGAAAAGCATAATAGAGACAGTGAGCAGAGGTGTGAGACAAAGGAGTAATAACGAAGAACAAAACAGTTTCATTGGAAATCATAAGTCACAAGGAGTGGATGCATCTGCACCCGCCACTGAGAACGATTTTGAGCCATGTCACCAATTGTTTCCAACCATTGAGTTTTACCGTCCCGAGGACCCCAGCCAGTCAGGAAGTCTACACCTTCCTACGTGGCTTAGACCAACTGTTGTGGATTTCATTGACTGGTGCCAAGTTTTTGTTTGACCGCCGGTAGCTTTTTTCCAGCCTGACCCTATATCAGCTAACATTGCTCGTCGAGGGAGGCGATGACTATGCATACGAACACATGTCCTAACCATCTCAGTCTTTGTAACTTCACGACTTCGTCGATTGATTTCCCCTGTTTACCTAGCACTCGACGCCTAACCTCAATGTTGCTCACCTTATTATGCCGCTTTACAATATAGAAAACAAATACAATATAGAAACAATATAGAAAACCATTTTTTATTTCAATGGTGCTAGACGACTGACTGAAGAAAAAGAGCAGAACTCTACATAGGAATAAGTCGATTCAAGTTGTTACATTCTGAAATAAGGAAACAAATGTAACGACATTACAATAGACAAACATAAATGCGAGAAAAGGAGTAATCTAATGAATAGTAAACATCTCCAGAATTTCAGAGATGATCAAGAGTGAATGTATATGCCCGATGCATACCGATCCTAGGCAATAATACAAACAATCTCAACTTTTTGAGGTTTAACATCCCTATCGGCGTCACCATATACACTGTCTAGAATAATGTCGCTATTACCCAAATGTATATATTTATATATATATATTACGGTGTGTTCAGAAGTGCATGTAATGTTGATTCATTGTGTCGTTCACTAGTCATAATCCTTATATGATGATATGTTATGTAACATAGTTACGCACTAAAATAGTACATATACTTCTTTAATGATGAATGCTAATTAGACTTTTGAATATCATACAGCAATGCAGTACTAACAACTGGACGACGTTTCAACCACACTGCATCGCTCATAATAATATCAAGGTACTCACGCAATGTTCTTGCTTCGACGGCACTACCCGTCGTTGCATTTTCGTAGTCTCCGCTTACGCCCCAACAGACCGCAGTTCGGATGAACTAAAGGATGACTTCTACCTGAAACTGCCTAATTTGCTGCAGAAACCGAAACGCTCAAACATAGTTATTTTAGCAGGCGACTTCAATGCCCAAGTAGGGAAGTTGTGTCAATCTGAGAAGGATGTCGGTGGCACCTATGGAGTTCCGTGCCAGCGAACCGACAACGGTGACCGTCTCATACAGTTCTGTTCAGATAATCATCTGTTTCTTGTAAGCACTAACTTCAAACATAAGGAGAGACACTGTTTGACTTGGCGACCTCCATCATCAAACCAACGCTGGACACAAAGAGACCACATAGCCAAAGGGTGTCGTTGGCGAGGTTCAGCAGAAAACTGTCGCTCCTTCTGGAACACGTACGTAGACTCTGATCACGTTCTGGTTCGCGCACGTTTATGCTCATAAACTAAACGGACATAAGAAATTGACGGCAGCGAAACAGTTACGTCCCCAACTAGATCGAGACAATGAGTCCTTATTTAAGGAAGAAATAGCGAAACGAGTTTCTGAGGTCGACAGCACGACTTCCCCTGAGGTAGTCTGGCACAACACACAGTTAACTGTAGACATAGCTGTGAAAGCTGTTAATAAGCTAAAACCAAAAGTTAGTAAACTCCATTGTATCTCTACCGCCTCATCCAAACTGACTAAGGCAAGAAGACTGATTCCGGCTAGCTCCGATTATAATGAGGAGAGAAAGCTACTCAAACGAAAAATAACAAGAAGTCTTCGCAACGACCGTCATCAGTGGTGGGTGACAAAAGCGAAAGAAATTGAAAAGGCATCGGCGATTGGCAACACCAGACAATTATTTAAGATTATCAGGAAAACAGGTGGTAAAATTCAAATGATAAGTGAAACAATCTCGGAGAAAAATGGCACCATAATTGGCTCCCAGGATAGACGACTGGAACGCTAGAAAGAGCACTATGAAGAGCAATTTAATTGGCCTACAGCCACGCTTAACCTGCCGAACATCCAACACCTCCCTGAATGGGACAGAGACATAGGTCTTCCATCACTAACTGAGGTTACTAAAGCTGTCACTAATCTGAAACAAAGCAAAGCAGCGGGACCTGATAGAATGACTCCGGAGGTATTTAAGTACGGTGAGAACAGTTTACTGTCTGCATTAACTGAGGTAATAGGCAAAGTCTGGGAATCAGAGGAAGTCCTGTCGGGTTGGTGTAAATCACTGATTATCCCCATATACAAGAAGGGAGACAAGTCTTCCTGTGATAATCACAGAGGGATTAGCTTGACTGATATAGTATCTAAAGTCCTAGGCTCAGTAATAATTCGTAGACTAAGTGGTGCTCGGGAGGCACAAACACAAGAGAGCCAGGCAGGCTTTAGGCCAGGAAGAGGGTGTATTGATCATATCTTCACCCTTCGACAGATTCTAGAACATAGGCATTCTTACCGGCGTCCAACAGTCGTTATATTTCTTTACATAAAGACGGCATTGGATTCTGGCGACCGAGAGGTTCTCTGGAGATGCTTGGCTGTAAAGGGAATGACGAGAAAATACATTGCACTGATCAAGGCACTCTACTCGTACTCAAGCAGCCAGGTGAGGGCTTACGACGAGTTGTCATCTGAAGTGGTGGTGACTAGTGGTGTCCGTCAGAGATGCCCATTATCCCCATTTCTATTCAATTTCATCATAGATGTACTAATGGACTTAACCCTAAGTGACTTCAGCGACTCAGGGATTGACATGCTACCAGGGAATAATCTCGTTGATTTAGAATATGCAGACGATATAGTCCTTCTAGGCGAGGACGCTGACAAAATGCAGAGTATTCTGAACACCTTGGGCTGCAATCTACGAATGTTTGGCATGTGATTCGCTCCCGCCAAATGCAAGATGATGTTACAGGACTGGACCACACTGACTAACTCCTAGTTTAGAAATAGGAAGTGAAGTGGTAGAGCATGTTGACCGCTTCACTTATTTGGAAAGTACCATCAGCCCCAACGGGTTGATCTCTGACGAAATCTCAGGACGCAGACAGAGAGATAGTTTTGCATATGCCAGTTTAGGCCATCTCTGGCGTAGACGTGATATCCGACTATCGATCAAAGGGCGGGTGTACTGCTCATCAGTCCGCTCCGTCCACCTTTATGGATGTGAGAACTGGCCATTGAGAGTAGAAGACATGAAAAGATTAGCTGTCTTTGATCATAGGTGCCTGCGTTCTCTCTCCCGTGTGAAGTGGCATAATAAGGTGAGCAACATTGAGGTTAGGCGTCGAGTTCTAGGTAAACAGGGGAAATCAATCGACGAAGTTGTGAAGTTACAAAGACTGAGGTGGTTAGGACATGTGTTACGTATGCATAGTCATCGCCTCCCTCGACGAGCAATGTTAGCGGATATAGGGTCAGGATGGAAAAAAGCTAGCGGTAGTCAAACAAAAACATGGCACCAGTCAATGAAATCTACGACAGTTGGTCTAAGTCACGTAGATTTCCTCACTGGTTGGGGTCCTCGGGACGGTAAAAACCAGTGGTTGGAAACAATTGGTGATATGGCTCAAAATCGTTCTCAGCGATGGCTGGCTCAGACGCATCCACTCCTTGTGACTTATGATTTCCAATGAAACTATATTGTTCTTCGTTATTACTATTCCTTTGTCTCACACCTCTGTTTACTGTCTGTATTATGCATTTATTCTACCTTCTTTTCTTGCTTTGTGTGCTACATGGAGTATGGCGACTTGAACTGCTGCACATCAATGCAAAGTTCTATGTCGAAAACAGACAGGCAGATATTGCACCTCGAATTTAAAAGTGATACCGAAGCAGAAATTCTTCACAGACGGCTTTCGAAGTCTCTTAGTAAAACAAACTTCACTGCCAGCCTACGAATAACATTCCCCTGCAAGAAACTACTCACTTAACACATGAAAGACAAGTTGTCGTATTGGGCCACTTCAGCATGCATATACAAGTTCACTTGCTAGTGTGGAGCTGAGTTCATTGGCAGTACCATGCGTCCTCTTGTAAAACGCGTACGGGAGCACTACCCAGCATGGCTAGAAAGGGAGAACGCAAAGGGGAATACACTTCGATAACAGAATATCTGGTGAACTCTGAACGTCCAGCCCCATATGTAAAGTCCGTCAAAGCCATATATAAGATCGGATCCAACCTACCAAAAGGAGTGAAATCAAGACATCTAGGAATAGCTGAGGCACTGGCGATCCACCAACTCAAGTCTATTCTATGTGTTCAACAGAAATATGCCAATCTTTGTCCCTACCGTGGCCATCATGAAAAGTCAGTCTCACCAATAGTGATTATCCTATTACCTTTCTTATCCAACCTTCCTGTTTATTTTTTACATTTACCTTTAAAATTCCATTA